CAGATGGGTTCTTCTTGCCCAATGCACAGATAAAATGAATTCACTGCAGTAGAGAAAGAGTTAAATTGACATAAGACCAACCACATAAGAGAACTTGGGTTCTCACTCAAATCAGTCTCCCCAAAGGCTTGGAGGTTAGAGTTTTTATGGACAATTTGGTGGCAGGGGGCTAGGGAATGGGTGTTGCTGATTGGTTGGGGATGGAAATCACAGGGGTTTGGAGAGTGGTCTTGTGCTGAGTCTGCCTCTGGATGGGGCCACAGAACTGGTTGAGTCATGAGTCACTAGGGCAGGCAGGGTCATGTCTGAAAAATATCTCACAAAACCCATCTTAGGTTCTACAATAGTGATGTTATCTATAGGAGCAATTGGGGAAGTGACAAGTCTTGTGACCTCTGACCACATGGCTCCTGAGCAGTAAGGAACTATAGAAACTACAGAAACTATCCCTATCTTGTAATCTCTGGAGAAATGACTCCTGAGCAGTAAGAGACTGTGGAGACTATACCTATCTGGCCGGGTGTGGTGGCTCACGCCTATAATCCAAGCACTTTGGAGGCCAAGGCGGGCAGATCACCAGAGGTCCAGAGTTCAAGACCAGCCTAACAACATGGTGAAACCCCGCCTTTAAAAAAAAAAAGAGATTATACCTATCTTGTGACCTCTGTCTACATGAATCCTGAGCAGTTAGGGATTACAGAAACTATACTTATATTTTATCAGAGTTTGGCCCTTCCTGTAATCCTATTCTTATGACCTTTCATTAGTCTTACAAAGGCGGTTGTCAGTCCCTAAGCAAGGAGGGAGGGAGAAACTATTTTTCATCCTGTTTTCAAATGAAACTACAAATTCCTCCCAAAGTTGGCTTGACCTATGCGCAGGAATGACCAAGGATAGCTTGGAGGTCAGAAGCAAGATGAGTCAACTATGTCAGATTTCTCTTACTGTCATAATTTTGCAAAGATGCACAGTGGCTCATGCCTGTAATCCTAGCACTTTGGGAGGCTGAGGTGGGTGAATCACCTGAGGTCAGGAGTTCAAGACCAGCCTCGCCATCATGGTGAAACCCCATCTTTGAAAAAAAAAAAAGGTGCTTTCAGTTCTGTTTTTGTTTTTTTTTAAACAGAGTCTCTGTTGCCAGGCTGGAGTGCAGTGGCCCTATCTTGGCTCACTGCAACCTCTGCATCCCAGGTTCAAGCAATTCCCCTGCCTCAGCCTCCAGAGTAGCTGGGACTACAGGTGTGTGCCGCCACACCCCGATAATTTTTTTTTTGTATTTTTAGTAGAGACAGGGACTCACCATGTTGGCCAGGATGGTCTCCATCTCTTGACTTTGTGATCCACCTGCCTCAGCCTCCCAAAGTGCAGGGATTACAGGCGTGAGCCACTGCACCCGGCCCAAAGGTGCTTTCAGTTCTAAACTTTATTAAGTTATATTCAGATATTTGACATTAGGTAAGATGAATAAAGAAAGGAGTACTACGCAGTGAGGAAGCACTCAAACTCCATTTAGTATTTAGCTTAGAATTTGAAAAGTTATTTCAAACAACATAATGAAGCCACACCCTGAAAATGTGCTTGGAAGATTCTGAAAGTCTATTTCTAAAAAAAACTATTTGTGGGCCGGGCATGGTGGCTTACGCCTGTAATCTAAGCACTTTGGAGGCCAAGGCGGGTGGATCGCCTGAGGTCAGGAGTTCAAGACCAGTCTGACTAACATGGTGAAACCCTGTCTTTTTAAAAAAAAAAAAAAAAAAGTTAAAAAATAAATAAATAAATAAACACTATTTGTGATAATCCACTCAAACTGAAGCGAATTACTAGAATGTGAACACCACATCCCTATTCATATTTGTATTCTCAATGTGTCGTGAATCAGAGAATGAATAGTACCAAATCTTTTTAAAGCACAGATGGTGTTTGTGGCAGCTATGAGAACATTCCTTTCGGATCTCCCAGAATGATAGAGTGAGGGCCCTGACTGCTGCATGCCGAATCTACCACACTCCCCTAGGCTGCTCTCAGCCAATGACTGAGTACGGCAGGGAAACAGGCAGGCCTGTTCTGTAAGACTCAAAACTCAAACAGGTAACTTTGCTCTGAGGTCTCCTCACAGGCCTAGTGAAAACTTTCTTAGATTCTACCCTTAAGATGCTTCTTAATGAAACTTCCTTTCCTTCCCCGCTCCTTCACATGTGTCTGACCTGGATCACCTTTGCTCTCCTCTTGTTCCAGGTTCCTTCTCATTTTCCTCCATAGGCATTCCCTGCCCCCCTCACAAAATCTCTTGCACATCTGATCCCATTTTTGTATTTGCTGCTTGGAGGATTTTTTTTTCCTTTGAGACCAGGTCTGGCTCTGTTGCCCAGGTTGCAGTGCAGTGGCACAATCTTGGCTCACTGCAATCTCCACCTCCTGGGCTTAAACCATCCTTTCACTTCAGCCTCCCGAATTGCTGGGACTACAGGTGCACGGCACCAACATTCCTTGCCTCATTTCTTTCTTTTTTCCTGTTTAGCCACTCGGGAGTTGAAAATAAAGATATTTGGCCATAATTGATATAATGTAAAATACCAAAAAGGGTAGTCATAGCAGATCAGGACATGAACTGCTCAGATTCCCCCTTCAAGAAAGCATTTGCTACCCAACTACAAGGAGTGAGGTGAGCTGACAGTCCCCAGCCATGGGCACCTTCAGGGTTAGCCTCAGCTTTTGAGGTGAGGTCACACACTTCTTGAGGGGGCCTGTAGCCCATGATTGATTGTGACAAAGGTAGCTGAGATCACATGCTTCATGGGTTGGCTTGGGTCCTGGCCCAAGAGTGAGTCCAATGGTCAATGTGTCTGGTTTCCGCCAGACGTCCAGCTATCTTTTTTTTTTTTTTTTTTTTTTTTTTTTGGAGAGAAGGAGTTTTTCTCTTGTTACCCAGGCTGGAGTGCAATGGCGCGATCTCGGCTCACCGCAACCTGCGCCTCCTGGGTTCAGGCAATTCTCCTGCCTCAACCTCCTGAGTAGCTGGGATTACAGGCACGACCATGCCCAGCTAATGTTTTGTATTTTTAGTAGAGACAGGGTTTCACCATGTTGACCAGGATGGTCTCGATCTCTTGACCTCGTGATCCACCCGCCTCGGCCTCCCAAAGTGCTGGGATTACAGGCTTGAGCCACCGCGCCTGGCCAGTTCTAAAAACTTCAAACAGATAATATTTTTCAAGCCCTTTGAGGGCTCATATGGTGTATGTGGGGTTTTTCTGTAGTTTTGTTTATTCCCAGGGAGTAAATACACTGAGAGATCTTACTTGGCAATCAGATACAGACCTAAATAAAGAATTGTAGAGTACTATAGTAACCTATCATGGGGATTTTGGTTTGTTTCTTTTCATTTCTAGGATAACAACTACTAAGACAGCATGAACAAGAAACACTGAAACATCTCGTTGACAAAACACAGTGGCCAGTGTATTGAGAGGAAATATTTAACACCTTTGTAACCATGAACCAGTTTTTTCTAGCATTTTTGTGATAAAATTTTATATGTGTGAATAAGTATTATAATTTTATTTTCTCTTAACACCATTTAATAAAATATTATAATTTTAATATATATGTACATAAAATATTTCTTATAACATTATTTATTTACTTTTGAGACAGAGTCTTGCTATGTTGCCCAGGCTGGAGTGCTGTGGCGCAATCTCAGCTCACTGCCACCTCTGCCTTTTTGGTTCAAGTGATTCTCCTGTCTCAGCTTCCTGAGTAGCTGGGATTACAGGTGCCTGCCATCATGCCCAGCTAATTTTTATTTTTAGCAGAGATAGGGTTTCACTATGTTGGCCTGGCTGGTCTCAAACTGCTGACCTTAAGCAATCCACCCACCTTGGCCTCCCAAGTGCTGGGATTACAGATGTGGGCGACCTCACCTGGCCTATTTATTTATTTTGAGACAGCCCCACTCTGTTGCCCAGGCTGGACTCAATGGTGTGATCATGGCTCATTGCAGCCTTGACCTCCTGGGCTCAAGCAATCCTCCAACCTCAGCATCCCAAATAGCTGAGACCACAGGTGCATACCACTATGCCCAGCTATTTTACTTATTTATTTTTAGATGGAGTTTTGTTCTTGTTGCCCCAGCTGGAATGCAAAGGCACAATCTCAGCTCACCGCAACCTCTGCCTCTGAAGTTCAAGTGATTCTCCTGCCTCAGCCACCCAAATAGCTGGGATTATAAGCATGTGCCACCACGTCCAGCTAATTTTGTATTTTTAGTAGAGACAAGGTTTCTCCATGTTGGTCAGGATAGTCTCAAACTCCCGACCTGAGGTGATCTGCCCGCCTTGGCCTCCCAAAGTGCTGGGATTACAGGCGTGAAACACCGCACCGGCCTATTTTATTTTTTTTGTAGACACAGGGTCTCCCCATGTTGCCCAGGCTGGCCTCAAGCTCTTGGGCTCAAACGATTCTCCTACCTTGAGCTCCCAAAGCATTTGGATTACAGGCATGAGTCACCGTGTCCAGCCATCCAGTCAACATATTATTTTTTTGAGACGAAGTCTCGCTCTGTCACCCAGGCCAGAGTGCAGTGGCGAGATCTCAGCGCACCACCACTTCCACCTCCTGGGTTCAAGTGATTCTCCTGCCTCAGCCTCCTGAGTAGCTGGGATTACAGGCGTGCACCACCATGCCTAGCTAATTTTTGTATTTTTAGTACAGGCAGGGTTTGGCCATGTTGGCCAGGCTGGTCTTGAGCTCCTGACCTCATGATCCGCTCATCTCAGATTACAGGCATGAGCCACTGAGCCTGGTGCTATCTTTTTAAAAATAATAATTGTTTTCTTTTTTTCATCTTCTACTCTGAAGGGAACTTGTAAACAAAGTTTTTTTTAACACTCATTCTCTGTATTCACAATTTTTTTTTTTTTTTTTTTTTTTTTTTATTTTAGAGACAGGGTTTCACCATGTTGGCCAGACTGGTCTTGAACTTCTGACCTCAGGTGATCTACCCGCCTCAGCCTCCGAAAGCGCTGGGATCATATCAGTAATGTTTTATCAGAAAAACTAACTTTTAGCAGTTGCTTTTTAGTAGAAGAGAAGATAAATTTTTCTATAATGTGCTATTTGCTTAGCTGGTAATTCAAACCTTTTTTCTTTTTTTTTTTTCAGGTGGAGTCTCACGGTTGCCCAGGCTAGAGTACAGTGGTGCCATCTCAGCTCATTGCAACCTCCGCTTCCTGGGTTCAAGGGATTCTCCTGCCTCAGCCTCCCAAGTAGCTGTAATTACAGGTGTGTGCCATCAGGCCCGGCTAATTTTTGTATTTTTAGTAGAGGCAGGGTTTCACCATGTTGGCCAGGCTGGTCTTGAACTCCTGACCTCAAGTGATCTGCCTGCCTCAACCTCCCAAAGTGCTGGGATACTGGCATCAGCCGCCATGCCCAGCCCCGTAATTCAGATTTGAAATGGGTTTTCTTTCCTTTCTGCCTTTCAAAACTGTCTCTGACTTGCATTTGAGAGTTGACACAAACTCACAGTTATAAACTTTGAAAATTTGTTGTTTCACATAAAGAACCATACAAAATGTTAAAAACCAGCCAGGCTTGGTGGCTCATGCCTGTTATCCCAGCACTTTGGGAGGCCCAGACGGGCAGATCACCTGAGGACAGGTGTTCGAGACCAACATGGTGAAACCTCACCTCCACTAAAAATACAAAAATAGCCAGGCGTGGTGGCTCACACCTGTAATCCTGCGCTTTGGGAGGCTGAGGTGGGTGGATCACCTGAGGTCAGGAGTTCAAGACCAGCCTGGCCATCATGGTGAAACCCCATCTTTAAAGAAATAAAAAATACAAAAATACAAAAATTAGCCTGGTGTGATGGCACATGCCTGTAATCCCAGCTACTCAGGAGGCTGAGGCAGGAGACTAGCCTGAAGTCTGGAGACAGAGGTTACAAGTGAGCCAAGATCATGCCACTGCAATCCAGTCTGGGCAACAGAGTGATACTCTGCCTCAAAACAAAAAAAAAAGTTAAAAACCAAAGTCATTTTGTACTTTGCCCATCCTGCCCAAAGTGCCTTTTGTTGAGGGGGACATACGGGGCATCAAAGCAGATCTATATGTCTAAAGGTCTAAAATGTCTAGCTAGGTGACAGGGCTAACATTTTTGGCTGTGCCTATAATCCCAGCACTTTGGGAGGCAGAGCCGGGCAGATCATCTGAGGTCAGGAGTTTGAGACCAGCTTGGCCAACATGAAGAAACCCTGTCTCCATTAAAACTACAAAAATTAGTCAGGCTTGGTGGTGTGTGCCTGTAATCCCAGCTACTTGGGAGGCTGAGGCTGAAGAATCGCTTGAACCCAGGAGGCAGAGGCTGCACTGAACTGAGATCATGCCACTGGGCTCCAGCCTGGGTGACAGAGCGAGACTCTTGTCTCAAAAAAAAAAAAAATTTTTTTTTTTTTTTTAAGACAGAGTTTCACCATGTTGGTCAGGCTGTTCTTGAACTCCCAACCTCAGGCGATCTGCCTGCCTTGGCTTCCAAAGTGCTTGGATTACAGGCGTGAGCCACCATGCCTGGCCTCCAAAAAAAAAAATTTTTTTGGGGGGGGCTGTTTATTCAAATATCAGGACAATACTGAACCAAGTGTTGAAGCTTAGAGTTTAAGCTGGGCAATACTGAACTAAATTTGAAGCTTAGCTAGTTCAGTACTGTTCTGTCATCTGAATAAACAGCTGTTTATTACTGAACCTAACAATAGAAGGTTAATCCAGACGGTTTTGCATATACATTAGAAATGTGAATAAAAGTAAAAGAACAACTAATTCCCATTGTGCTTTACTATGGTGCACAGTATCTGTGACTTGGATACTAATCGGAAAAAGAATGCCAACAATATAAACTGGATTATAAAGTCTACTAGGCAATTTGAAGAATGTGTTTCATCACCATTTAGTAAGAATAGCAGAGATTGGTATGACTTTTTTTGTATATGCCTTCTGGGAACTCTGATAATTGAATACAACTTCAAAAGGGCTAAAGCCCAGTGACCTCAAAATGAAGTTCACAGAACAGTACATAATGATGAAACCTGAAGCAATAAAACACCAATGGGGCCCCGCGTGGTGGCTCACGCCTGTAATCCCAACACTTTTGAGGCTGAGGCGGGAGTATCAGGAGGACAAGAGATCAACACCACCATGCCAGCATGGTGAAACCCGGTGTCTATTAAAAATACAAACATTAGCTGGGCGTGGTGGCGCGCGCCCGTAGTCCCAGCTACTCCGGAGGCTGAGGCAAGAGAATCGCTTGAACCCGGGAGGCAGAGGTTGCAGTGAGCCGAGATCGCGCCACTGCACTCCAGCCTGACGACAGAGCGAGACTCCGTCTCAAAAAAAAAGGACTGAAATGTAAATATTCACGCTCTTAGGATATGGCATTTTCATTTTGTTTTGTTGTGTTACTGGGCTGTCCTCAGACATCTTCCTTTCATATCTTAAACACCTGTCTTTCCAGGAAAGCTTCTGGAATTTTTTGTTTGTTTTCGTCTCAAGGGCACGAGGGGAGAACCTAACAGGCTGCAAGCGAGCCCCACTGAGTTCAGCACGCCGTTCCCCGCAGCTACACTACTTCTGAACGCCGGAGCGACTGCCGGTCCCGGCTCCCTCCAGGAGAATGGAGGCAAATGTACTACATTCGAGGGGCTCAAAACCTGGAGTTCGAAACGTCTCAGTTCCTCCGTCTTAGTTCCTCTTTTCCCGGGTTCGGTGGCCACCTGTGCGGCAGGGCACACCTGCCACTCTCATAGCCTTCGGAACCGGCAACCCGCCGATCGCTGGCTCCAGCCGGTGGGAGTAAGAGGCCGAACGGAAGGAAGGAGAGTCGGGAGCGCGGTCTCTCGCTGGCTGGCTCAGGGGACGCCGATGGGGGGCGCCGGCGCGCTCGGGCGGGGTGCGCGCGCCGCCGCCGCGTCACCAGCGTGCGGCACGTGCCCGTGTTTACGTCCCTCGTGGAGCCGCCGACGTCAGCAGTCGAATGGCAACATTGTGGCGATGCTGAGGCACAGAGTTTAGGAGACGCGTTCTTCAGTCAGGCGGATCCCTGGTGTTCCGCGGCAGCAGCGCGGGCGGGGTGAGCGACCGGGACGCACACAGCGCCGGCCCGACCCCGCGGGACCCGCGCCTCACCTCCGGAGCGCCGCAGACGCAGCTCCACGGCCCCACGCGGGGGGCGGCGGGCGGCCGCGAAGCGCTGCGGCAGCGCGGGGCTTGTAAACAGATCCGGCCGCACGTGACCATGTGAACTACCTGCTCCAGGGACGCGTATTGTCCTTCCTGCGAGCCGCGCCACAAAGGAGCTCGGCGGTCCCAGCACGGAGAGACTGGCGAGCGAGCCGGGAGAGCCGGCCGGCGCACTAAGATGGCTGAAGGCGCCCGGCGAGGGTGAGTGGGGGGCGCGGCGCAGCCAGCGGGGAGTCCTCGGGTGGACTGGGCCAGCGGCCCTCCTGCGCGGCGAGAAGCCAGAGCCACCATGTCGTTCGCGCTGGAGGAGACACTTGAGTCGGACTGGGTGGCTGTGCGACCCCATGTGTTCGAGGAGCGCGAGAAGCACAAATTCGTCTTTATTGTGGCCTGGAACGAGATTGAGGGCAAGTTTGCCATAACCTGCCACAACCGGACGGCCCAGAGGCAGAGGAGCTGCTCCCGGGAGCAGGCGGGGGCGCGAGGTGGCGCCGAGGCCGGCGCAGCTGCGTCCGACGGGAGCCGCGGGCCCGGCAGCCCGGCTGGCAGGGGCCGACCCGAGGCTACTGCCTTTCCACCTCTGGTTAGAAGCCCCGGGACCCGGCGGAGCCCGGCCTTGGCGGAGGGCGGCTCTCCTCGGAGCACTCGCAGCCTTCTGGGGGACCCGCAGCTGCGGAGTCCGGGCAGCAAAGGGGCGGAAAGTCGTCTTAGGAGCCCAGTGCGGGCCAAACCCAGCCCAGATCTGAGAACGTCTGAAGCCAGCGATGCGACGGAGGCCGCTGCTGCGGCAGCCCGGCCGGCGCCCAGAGAGGCCCCGGTGTCTTCTGTACGGATAGTGAGCGCCTCCGGGACGATCTCCGAGGAGATCGAGGTGCTGGAAATGGTGAAGGAGGACGAGGCGCCTCTGGCGCTCTCGGACGCGGAGCAGCAGCCGTCCGCCACGGAGCTGGAGTCTCCGGCCGAAGAGTGCAGCTGGGCCGGACTCTTCTCTTTCCAGGACCTGCGCGCGGTGCACCAGCAGCTGTGCTCGGTGAACTCTCAGTTGGAGCCGTGCCTGCCGGTGTTCCCGGAGGAACCTTCGGGCATGTGGACTGTGCTGTTCGGGGGCGCCCCCGAGATGACCGAGCAGGAAATCGACACTCTGTGTTACCAGCTTCAGGTCTACCTGGGCCATGGCCTGGACACCTGCGGCTGGAAGATCCTCTCCCAGGTGCTCTTCACCGAGACCGACGACCCTGAGGAGTATTACGAAAGCCTCAGCGAGCTGCGGCAGAAGGGCTACGAAGAAGTGCTTCAGCGGGCCAGGAAGCGCATCCAGGAGGTGAGTGAGTGAGCTCGTAGTCTGGGCTCTATTGGTCGCTTTTGGTTTACTGGCTAAAGCAAAAGCTGGAGCCTTGGTCTCGGGTGTGCGCAGGTGGGACGGTTTCTTTTGTGAACAAGAGAAAACTAAGAGGGGTTCCTGATCTATCTTCCTATTCATCCCTCGCGGTGGCTATCTTTAATTGGCTCTCTGAAGCAGCTTCGTCTTTATTTCCTCCCTGGTTTATCAAATGTTAAGTGCTCTCTGTGTACTACTCAGTACTGGTAATGCGCAATGAAAGCCACTCAGGAAAGGGTGTTCTGTAAGCATAGGCTACATGAGCTTTTTTTCTGCTTCTAAAGCTCTTTCTAGCAGGTACTGCCCAGATATCAACTCTTCTTTGTCCGTGTCATGTTTATTTATTGAAAATAGATTGTCTTACGGAGCAAAGTTGATCTATTTTGATTCTTTTTTATGCAGTGTGGCAACCTACGCAAATTTTAAGTTCATTATTTATTTTTATGTATTTTTCACCTGGGTGGGCTAACGCCGAAAAGGGCGTTAGCCTCAGTTCGTTTTTAAACGAGTGACCTGTCCAGGTGAAAAGGCACCAAGTAGCCAAAGCAAATTTATTTTTAAAAGGTTTTTTAAAATTTTTTTTTGTTAAGAACTATCTTGGGTCTTGACAGATGGCTCAGGTTTCACTCCTGTTTTAGGAAGAAGTAAAGGTTCTGCGCAAGAATGTTTGTTGTATTTTGGTACTTACTGTAAAAGAAGTACAAAAGCCTTTTCAAACTACTTAATCCATAAAATAACAAAAAATAATGGAAAAAAGGGCCTGAATTGGGTATACATACGGAGTTCTAGAATGTGTAAGAAATGTGTAATTCTTGCTTGCTCACCAGCTTCTGTTGAAGGAACTTTAAAAGTGTTTTAAAATATACTTAGTTTCTCCTAATGGGCACTACACGTAGCTTCTCAAAGCAAATTACTATTTTTACTATTAATGCAATTGTGATTTGTGGAGAAATGTCCCCCCCACGCCCCCGGGCTTTTTTATTTTTTGGAGACAAAGCCTTGCTCTGTCGCCCAGGCTGGAGTGCAGTGGCGCGATCTGGGCTCACTGCAGCCTCCGCTTCCCGGGTTCAAGCGATTCTCCTGCCTCAGCCTTCTGAGTAGCTGAGACTTCAGGCGCGCGCCACCACGCCTGGCTAATTTTTGTGTATTTTTTAGTAGAGACCGCGTTTCACCATGTTGGCCAGGATGGTCTCCATCTCTTGACCTCGTGATCCTCCCACCTCACCCTCCCAAAGTGAGCCAGAGCGCCCAGCCTGAAATACCCCTTGTTACGGTGTTTGTATTCCTGAGCTTGTGGTGTTTTCTGCCTATGTATATATAATACTTGAATTGAACCCTGTTGTTAGACTAGGCAGCTGGAGCCTCCTAGTTTTTTCGTAGAATATTAGGTATTTTTCTTTATTAGACTTGAGTACTTCGGAAATGTTTCTCATTTATACCGTAGTACTCTTACATCTTCCTGAATCCAGATTTTCACTCTTTCCTTTTGGTTTACTGCATGCTAAATGTTACTCACTGTAACATGATCCTAGGGTTCCAGGGATGTGTTTTTATTTCTCTTTTTAATTACCTCACTTCGGGAGCCTGTTCTACCTTAAATTCTTTTGAAGGAAGTGACAGAAATCTTAAGTGACCACGTACATTCTCAGAAGTGTTTAGTTAATACTGACCTGTATTTCTCTTAAACGGTAAGAACAAAGTGCTTTCTCTTAGTAGATTTACAGATTTTTTTTTTTTTAAAGACGGGGTTTCACCATGTTGGTCAGGCTGGTCTTGAACTCCCGACCTCAGGTGATCCACCCGCCTTGGCCTCCAAAGTGCTTGGATTAGAGGCGTGAGCCACCACGCCTGGCCCAGATTTTTGTTTTGTTTTGTTTTGTTTTGTTTTGTTTTGTTTTGAGACGGAGTTTCACTCTTGTTACCCAGGCTGGAGTGCAATGGCGCACTCAGTGCAACCTCCACCCCCTGGGTTCAGGCAATTCTCCTGCCTCCGCCTCCTGAGTAGCTGGGATTACAGGCACAAGCCACCATGCCCAGCTAATTTTTTGTATTTTTAGTAGAGACGGGGTTTCGCCATGTTGACCAGGATGGTCTCGATCTCTTGACCTTGTGATCCACCCGCCTCAGCCTCCCAAAGTGCTGGGATTACAGGCGTGAGCCACCGCGCCAGGCCCCAGATTTTTTTTTTTTTAAGACAAAAGTTTTGCTCTTGTTGTCCAGGCTGGAGTGCAGTGGCACAATCTCAGCTCATTCCAACCTCTGCCTCCCGGATTCAAGGGATTCTCCTGTCTCAGCCTCCCAAGTAGCTGGGACTAGAGGCATGCACCACCATGCCCAGCTAATTTTTTGTGTTTAGTAGAAAGGAAGGTTTCACCATGTTGGTCAGTCTGGTCTTGAACTCCTGACCTCAGGTGATCTGCCCGCCTTGGCCACCCAAAGTCCTGGGATTACAGGCGTGAGCCACGGCGCCCAGCCTAAACTGCATATTGTAAAAAAAATCCCAACCTAAGTAAGGGCCTGGCACGGTGGCTCACGCCTGTAATCCCAGCACTTTGGGATGCCGAGGTGGGCAGTTCACAAGGTCAGGAGTTTGAGACCAGCCTGACCAACATGGTGAAACCCTGTCTCTAAAATAAATAAATAAATAAATCCCTAAGTAAGTAGGCCTGAGATCAAGCCCATCCTGGCCACCTTTTTAGATACTCAGAAAAAGCGAGTCTCCAGTTTTTTTATTCAAATGGGTCAAAAATAAGCTCTCAAAAAATATAATTTTCTAGAACTTTTTAAAAAGGGGATTACATTAAAAAAAATCTTTTTAATTAGGAAAATTTAGGTTCTCTTGACCATAATGACTTTAATAATTCTTCTTTTTTTTTTTTTTCCTGAGAGAGTCTTAATTGTCACCCAGGCTGAAGTGCAGTGATGCCATCTCAGCTCACTACAACCTCATTCTCCCGCAATTCTCTTGCCTCAGCCTCCTGAGTAGCTGGGATTACAGGTGTGTGCCACCATACCTGGATAATTTTTGTATTTTAATTAGAGGGGGTTTCACCATGTTGGTCAGGCAGGTCTTGAACTCCAGGTGATCTTAACCCGCCTCGGCTTCCCAAAGTGCTAGGATTACAGGCATGTACTACTACCGGCAACTTCAACATTTGAAAATAGGTATCAAGGACAACAGATAGGTTCACTAATAATGCCTACCCTGACTTCTTCTGGAGATTGTGTGTTGAGATTATGTTGGGGGAGGAGGGAAGTGTGATGTGATTGGTTGGTGATGTCTGCCATGGGCATGATAATGGAAGTGTATGGGATGCTAGCCATTTATTTGTCTTAAGCTAATTAAATTTAACTTGCTTTCTTAATCGTTTGCAGTAACATTTTTTAAGGTAACGTTTTTAGAGAAGTTGTCATGTTTGTATTATTCTATTGCCTTCCTTTGTGGAATTGGCTATACCTTTTCAAGCTAGGTTTATCTGATAAATCAATTACATTCTTGAGAATGTTACTTAGAATACTTAGTCTTTTGGTCCCTTAGAATACTTAGTCCATATGTTACTTAGAATACTTAGTCCTTTGGTCACGTAGAATAATTTGTCCTTTTCCTTCTTTAATTTCTATAATCTAGTTTTTGGTCTTTTTTCCTGCAGTATTCCTTTGCCTGTCCATTTAAAGGTTTCAACTTAAAACCACCTGTTTTTGTTCAAAATGGTCAGGAAATTGTTGAAAGGTTTTTTTTTGTTTTTTTAATAGAACAGATTGTACAACTAGATTGTAAGCTTTTCAAGCTTACAATATCTTGGAACTCTCTTCTTTGCCACCCCTAGTTCAGGACTGCACATCTTATCAGCACTTCTAATTAGTGGATAAAGGAAACCAGAGAAGTTTTGAAAATTAAGTTATTTTTATTATTGCAAGAATTTAAAGGACTTAGGAGGCATGTCCTTTTAATGTGAAGTTGTGGGTAAGTAAAATTTGTATAAGTTGGTAATTGTAAATTCCTCAAAGGACAGCGTTTTTAAAATGAGGAGAAATTTTTCTTTTTGTGTACTGACAGTACTTCAAAGGAAAATTTCTTAAAACATAAATAAATTCCTCTATAAGAAGTTTTTACTTGGAGATGGCGTATTCTCTGTAACAGGGTCTATGGTTGGGTTTTAATGGGGTGTCCTGCAAAATTTTATATGTGTGGGCATGTGTACATTTTTAGAGAGAAAGGTTTTTAAAGGTGTTCCTCAAAGAATTTTAAAACCACCATTGTGGGTGGGCACAGTGGCTCACAGCTGTAATCCCAGCACTTTGGGAGGACGAGGCAGATGGATCACTTGGGGCCAGGAGTTCAAGACTAGTCTGGCCAACATGGTGAAACTCCGTCTCTACTAAAAATACAAAAATTAGCCATGTGCGGTGGCGCACACCTGTAGTCCCAGGTACTTGGCAGGCTGAGCAGGAGAATCAGTTGAACCTGGGAGGCGGAGGTTGCAGCGAGCCAAGATCGTCTCACTGCACTCCAGGCTGGGTGACAGAGTGAGACTCCTGTCTCAAAAAAAAAAAAAAAAAAACTACCACACCACCACCGTTGTAAGTTACCTGTTTTGTAAGCTTAGGGCACACCTCTTAATTTTTGTGATACCATTATGAATTCATACAGGTCAGAGGAAGTACTCCCATATCTTTGTCTTTTGAAATAATGAAGAATTAAGCCTTAGGTTTTCTGCTAAAAGTTTTTGTTAAGGATTTACAAGTTTGTTTAACAGGAAATTATTACAGTTCATGTGGATTTAAGAGTTTGTACATTACTAATAAATTATTTAAGATATATGAGTTGTAAGGTTGTATACCTTGGAGATACTGCAGGTTTAGTTTTCACACCGCAGTGATAAAGCAAATGTGGCAATAATGTAAGTCACCGGAATGTTTTGGTTTATCAGGGCATTTAAAAGTTATGCTTATGCTGTAAGTTGTATTTCTTGGGGCTAAGTCCAAATGAAACGTGAAATTTGTTACTGGGATGTTTGACTTTGGACTTTTACAAGAGTTTACTATCAGAAGCACTGTTTATACAACAGTCACTGAATCAGTCCTTAAATGAATGCAGTTGCCACCAAGACCTCTTTGAACAGTTTTCAGCAGTAGTCTTGGTTGTTGGTCAGAGTTGAGGTTTGTATTAGTGTGTGTGCATTGGTGGCCCATACTGCAGATTAGGTTTGACCTAGATTTTAAAAATAATGGTTTCTGTTTAAGAGCAGCTATTCAAGAATTTATTAATTGTGGTGCTTTAGATAGTAAACCTTAATTATGGTAGTATGCTTGATTAAGATCTAATCATCAGTGTTTATTTTGGAATTTATTGTGTTTATAAAGATGCACTCAATTCTAACTTCTCTTCAGTTGAAACCACTGTTTGGAAGTAGCGTGTGTGTTCAAAATTAGCCATGTAAGCCACGTAATAAATAGCTTATTGAGTGTTTGTAGTCAGAAGGACCTCAGTTGAAAATAGGACTCACCACTTCTGATGACCTGCTTAGTTATTTAACCTCTTTTAAAAAGGAAAGGGGGGTGTGAATAATTAAAGGATGTCTTAAGATTTAAGTGTAAGACAGTATGAGTTTGCATCTGAGTCACAGTACCAAAATTTTATTTAAAAAAAAAAGACACTATGAGAAAG